CCACCGGAGATATCTCGGTTCGGTGTACACTACTGACGAGAACAAAAAAGGGGAAATGAAATTGAATTAGCATCTACTTAGCATTACATTTTATCGAAGAAAACGAGCTGCAGCCATGCCATCGTCGTTTGTTTTTAAAATAAAATAAAAACAACAACAACCTTAGACATTTCATACCCGTTCATTTTATGTGGTATTCTAATGCTCCCATCATGCCATATCATAAAATATAAATTTTTACTCATACATCGGGAAAAATGAATAAATAAGTTTTATACTGGCGTTGTCTATTGCCGAATCCGATTAGTCTTTTCTAATATGCGCGCATTTGAAATTTATGCGATGAACGTGCGCAAATTCATGTTTAATAGATATAAAGTAGGAAATCCGTAACCCTCGTGACTTTTAAACATTCTATTCCAATGTTATAGTGCTCGCGGTTTTTCTCTCTCTCTTTCTCTCCCTCTATGTCTCTCGTTATCTCATCGGTGGCACACGCGAATGTGCATTTGAAATGTGACTACGGGCAAAAAGTTCTTCACCCGAAATAAAACAACGGCAACCAACAAAAGAAAAGAATCATATGTAATGTGAATGAAAACATGTTGCTCTGGTGTCGCCCGTGAATGGCATCTAACGCTTGTTCTGTATTTATGGTACCAGTTGAAAAAATTTCGTACAACTATATATCCGATACATACATAAATATTCTCAAACTGACTGTCCTTCACTTTTGTCTTTTGTATCGCATTTTTTATTTTCTGCGCTAGCACACTGGTCGCGGTTCTTTTTTTTTGTTCACTTAACCGTTTGGTTCACATGGAAAGGTACAGAAAAATGCATGAGTTTAAATGAAGCACTGCCGTGTCAAACATTTATTCGGCTTAGATATGTGATACGTGTGTATATGCTTGATGGAAAGTATGCAGTAAAATTATAGATGGCCACAAAATGAAACACAAAGTATACATGTGACGAGGGAACATTTTTCATCATTTTCATCGCCATAGTCTCCCGTCTCTCATTTCTTTTCGATTCACTTTCGTTGATGTAGCTTCAAAAATGTGGTGGCGTAGCCGCCTATTTTTAGCCAATACCTTTTGTTTTAATACTCTTGCATGCACAACGAGAGTTGAAATACATTGCTCTCTCTCTCCTTCTCTCACTCTCAACATGCATATTTATGATCTAATTCAATGACTGTGTGTACTAACCAGCACAACATGAAAATGCCCTCTTTAAAAACAACAAGAGCAACAAGAAACGCACATACGAAAGAACAGAGAGAATAAAAAACACATTCTCAATGTTCACTTCAGTTGAAGGAGTGTTTACGTGATTGTGCATATCATCATGCGATTTAAAGAGTAAACGAAAAAAAAATTCAAACATTCAACGGCAAATCGAGTATAACCCAAATCGATTAAGTCTTTGAATGCATGCACAATGTATTATTTGCCGTTTTTTTGATTAATGATCAAGATATTTTACCGTATCAGTACTCGATCAATTTCACTGAGTGAAAAAAGAAGGAAAAAGGATTAAATACATTCGTCACACACACAAAAATTTAAAAAAAACTGAATCCATTGATTTAGACGGCATGCATGTTGGTTTGAGCTATTTGAAGTACAAACATTCCTTGCAGTCGAGTGCCAAACGACAGCGCTAATGAATTTTGAGGTGGTATTCATTATAATAAATAGAAACTATTGCTATTATCAGCAGCAGCAGTTATGTAAATGATCGTACGTAACTGTGAATTGTGTTCACTGTTCACACACAATTGTGAAATCTTCAATTTTTCGTCTTTCAATTTTCGACTTTGTAAATTCTTTCCTCCTGAATCTTTGTCACACTCTTCAATCTTTATAGCTTCAAAACGGTTAGTCTAAATGCAGGCGATTTTTGTGATTCAGTGAGATCTCGTCATTTGAACGTGGGAGAAACATTCAAAAAATGTTTGCGTATTTGTTGCTTTTTTTGAACGCTGAACGCTCATTTAATAAACCAAATCAAGTGTAGGAGAAATGAAATTCCTTCATCAAAGAATCGTGCTGTTCAGTGGTTGGCCAACTGATTTTACACCGATTCACGTATCTCCACATCTTATATAAACAATCGAAGAGGAAAAATAAAAATAAATTCTCACTTGGACAGACGACTGATCTAAAACAATCATAGGGAAAAAACATTGTCGCACTACACTTAAGATTCTGTTGTTTTTGTCAGTTTTAATGCGATTTACTCGTATTTTCTTTCCGATTTACTCGTTTTCGAAAACTGTGATACCGGGAATTGAGAGTTTTTCGATTCATTTTGTCGAACCGGGCAGTTGAACTAAATTTATAGATTTTTGGGAGTTTACCGGTATTTTAAAATGAGTTATTTTAAACCGTCTGAAATAGAAAACACCGCAATTTTGCTAATTTTCCATGGTTTTTGAATGTTATTTTGAAAATGAAGCAATTTCTTGAAATACACATAATTCTATTTTCGAGCATTTATGAACAAGTCCAAGTATATCGTGAATCGTTTCTCAGCATGAACTCTGCCAAATGTTGACAAATTTCATTGTAATTTCAAATGAAGCGATTTTTAATGTTTGATCGAGATGATAATTTGTTATTTACAAATGGATTTAAAGGAGTGAATAGATTTCAGCTACTTTGGTATCAATTTGAGCTAAATTATTTGGCTTCAATGCAAAAAAACAATTTTTTTCTTGAATTTTATCAATTTTCTTTTTCTCTTATATAGAATTTGAACGATAATTTAGAGAACAAGACCAATATGTGAACTTATGCTTTTAACGAGGCGAGAATTATTCTTGAATTTTTGACTCTTTTGGCTATATAACTTTATCGCATAGATAAATCCGTCTAAATTTCGAACCTTTCCCGCAGAAAACTTAAAACTTTCCTGTACCTATAAATTCAGAAAAAACTTGACAAAGGACAATGAAAAAATAATAGAAAAATAATAAAAAATTAACTGAGATGATGAATTGAATCAATATTGTTGTTGTTGATCATTATTCATTTGAATAGAATGTTCCTGCTTAAGAAGGATTATCGTAATTTTTGATAGCTCAGCGCTTTGTTCTGAACTAAAAATATATTCAAATCGTTTGAGTGCAAATGTCAAGAGTTCTACCTCTTTCACGCAATTCAATTGGTTTCATGATAGTCACACGAAGAGATAAATATCTGCCAATTTTTATTCATTTCATTTCGAAACACTAAAAAGTGAACACTAAAATGACCACCGTTCGAAATAATTCAACTTGAAATCCGGCAATTTCAATCATATTCAGTAGCAAATTCATTTTCATTTCCGTTGTTTCTGCGACTATTGAACAATTTATAGAACGAAACGATTTTTCTTAACGTCGATTGCCTAGCTAATATGCGGTGCATTTGTATTCACATTAGAGACAAATTGCTTTGTAAAACTCAAACATGTGTCTTCCAACGATAAATTTGGCGTGAAAACCTAGTGTGCAAAGCATGTAATGGTTTTATATTCATTTCAATGCCTTTGTCGACACTAAATATGTGTACGGAAGACGTAAACATAAATCGCATGTTCAATCTCGTCGAACAGAAAAATCCGTTCAATTTGCGATAGTTGAGCCGAAAAGATGATTCATTCCATCTAAATGTTTGCAAATATGCCGATAATTTGCTGCTTTCAGCTTTATTTTTGGTGGAAAAATGGAATGAACATAACATCACCACTACTAAGAGTTATTATCAAGAACTTGGCCACAAAAACAACATGCTCCAAAAATATCTTTCTTCTTCGTTGGTTCGGCCTGGTATAAATGTTCATACTATGAAAATGATGCAAAGAAGGAACATTTGTACCAGTGCCGAGTTAACCAAATTTGGTGCCCGAAGCAAAAATGATTTTGGTGCCCCTTGCAATTTTTTCCCGTTATATATACAAATAATTATTGATAAAATGAACGTACGTATCGAATGCGAGCGGTAGCGAGCCAATTTTTTTTTAGAAATACCATTTTAGGGGCACCAAAAACATTTTTGGGCCCATTTTTGGCTGCGTGTTTTCTTTTTCAGATTATTAAAAAAAATTCCCATGCTTGTGGTGCCCCCAAGAACGTGGTGCCCGAGGCAACTGCCTCATTTGCCATATGGCTTACTCGGCACTGATTTGTACGGCGACGAGAATGAAAAAAAATATATGCCAATTTCCGTCACTAGGATTTCTATTTTGTCAATTTTTTACACGGTTTCCGTCGTGCATTTCGTCGTCATTCAGTCCGTCGATAAATCGGCGTCGAATCGAGTTGGCATCATCGTAACCTAAAATAAAGGTACGGCACAACTTTATCACACGAAAAAAGCGCGGTCTGATACATTTATAGCATTGACTATAACAATTGTATGCGGCTTTTATTTGACTGTCGTTTTTTTCCCTTTCTTTTTCGTATTCCCATCGATTCGCTTTTCATTCCCGAAATTTTTCTGTGAGTTAGATCGATTCATGCGTCTCATTTTCGCTCTCTCCCTTTCGTACGGTGCCAAAATAGACTGTTAACACTCGAACAGTGTTTCGCATTTTGTATGTGATTATTAACAAGTCGGGGGCTCACAGTCAGATACGTGAAAAAAAAGAACTTGAACCGAGAACTGAGAGAAGAATAAAACGCAACAACAACAGCAGTGGCAACGGCAGAGAGAAAATACGAAACATGTAATAAAGCGAGACGTTTTAAGCAACTTATAATTTGGCTTGGATTCGTTCGATATTTTTAAAAATAGCATAAGCTATGTAGGCTTTTGGTAAAATATATGCGCGCTGATTCAGAGAGCGGTCGCACGCGCGCGAGCGCATAAGGACAGAACCGAAATGTCGATGTGCCGACTTTTCACGATTTCATTGGCCAACATTTCACAACCATTTTTTTTTCATTAAATTCACTCGCCCGTTCGTGTATTCGGCCCCGTGATGGTTCGGCTTCCGAACACCGACTACGTAACCGAACACGAAATTTTTCGATCGCACGTAGGTGACTTGAGACCACAGCACATTCGATATTCACTTCTCGATCGTTGTATCACTTGAGTGCTTTCACAGTCAAGACAGAACACATAAAATCACGAAATGGTGAGTTTTCTCTCTAACTCTAAAAATCTTTTTTTGCCATAGAACAAATGAAATTTTTTTCATTCTGAAAGTGATTAGAAAAGTGTTTGCAAGGACGATTTTATTTGTGAATTAAAGTTTTTTTTAAAAAAGATTACAATTTATAACGAAAAGTTGATTTAAGAAAAGAAAAATCGAATCAGCGACCAATTTATGTGAAAAGTCAACTATTTCATAAAAATTGTCATCTCGTAATAAGGGTGTAACAAGTGATTTAACATTTTTATTTTAAAAAACTTGCAAAAAACGACGAAATTTATTGAATTTCTAAAGAAAACATTTCGAAATTGATCTTCGTCGGTTTTGCTCTCATTAAATTTCAGTGCAAAAAGGAAATGAATCAGAAGAATGCGTAACTTAGACGCATGCGTCGAAAGTTATGATTAGAAGTCGATCGAAAAACTTCGACAATGTGAAAATTGAAATGTGAACAGACAAATTCATTTGTTTTCTTCTTTGAATGGATCCGGTCATCTTAATTTTGCATAGTTCAATTCGTACAAAAACCTAAAAACGAACTTTCCGACATAAAATGTGAGGATTATGGCAGCCATGATCAATAGTTGAAGTTAAGAGAATTGCACAAAAGTTATCGCTGGGTTGAACAAAAAATTGCAGAGATTGTGATCTAAAAATAACGTCAATTCGGTCAACATATTTCTCCTTACTGTGTAAGGCGGGAGAGCGAGAAAGAGCCGAAAACCGAGAGCAAACAACACCTACACCTTTCTCTGTCGACCGCATTTGCAATACACATGAGCATAGGCGCTGTCCCCACACCTTGTGTAATAGTTTTTCATGCCGAAAAGAAAATACGAAAGAGCAGAAGAAAAATTGCGATTGCGTCAGCATCGCTCGCTTCGACGTTTTTTTTTTTTAATTCTCACCCAAAGTTAACGCAGTGAATGTGTAGGAGTTCAAAAAGTGGCCTTTATATTTAATTCGGGAGAAAATCGTCCGAAAAATACAAATATGTCACACAATCCATCAAATGATATAATAATATGCTACTGAATACTGAATTTCTTCTTTTCTCACATTTTTTAGGCAGATTTACCAAGATCCGATGTTGAAAGTGAGTATCGTTTAAAATACCAAGCTATTGAACGTTTTTCAACAAGATGTCAAGCTACTTGAATGTTTCTCGCCCCAACTGAATGCATTTCAAATACGATTTGGAAAGAAGAAAAGACGACGAAAATCCCAATCGAAATGAAAATCATTTTATGACTTGTTCAAACGTATGGAAAATTCAAAAGCTCTCGCCAACGTTAAAATGTTATTTGCAAACTTCTGGGTGTGAGTAATGCGAATTGCTGTGTGTATCACCATCTCAACGGGTGTTGTCTAAAAATAGCGGCACATTGAAACGGCGGTGATTTTACCTCGATCGGTCGATGCTATGATTGTCGGGTGCTTATGATCGCAACATATATGGCATTCTTTCGAGCGAGAAACATTCACTTGACTCTTCACAATTCTATTTAAAGCGCGCGTACGCTCTCTCTCTCTCTCTCTCTCTCTCTCACGCTCTATCTCAACAACGACTTTGACAACTAAATTTCCATTGTTTTTTTTCGCCTCGTCTCCGCTATGCAGAAGCCGAATTTGCTTTCTCCATCTATGATGCTGATGGTTCAAACAAGATCGATGCCTATGATCTTGGCGATGTTTTGCGAGCACTCAACTGCAACCCAACTCTTGCTTTGGTCGAAAAATTGGGCGGCACCAAAAAGCGTGGTGAAAAATTGTTGTCCCTCGAAGAGTTCTTGCCAATCTATGCTCAAGTGAAAAAAGACAAAGAACAAGGTTGCTATGAAGATTTCCTTGAATGTCTTAAATTGTACGACAAAAACGAGAACGGTTTGATGTTGCTCGCCGAATTGAACCACGCTTTGCTCGCCCTTGGTAAGCATTCGAACATTTTTTTCTATCTCAACCGTTGATTGTACTAGGAAAATTCATGTTTGATGTCGTTCACAGGTGATCCACTTGAACCAGAACAAGTTGAAGCTGTATTCAAGGACTGCATGCCAGAAGAAAATGATGATGGTGAAATCAAATATGCCCGTAAGTAACAGTCGCTATTTTGATTCTATATCATTGGACTCGTTAAATTTCTCTATTCATATTCCAAACATAAGATTTTCTATGTTCTTGTATCATTTTCACTTGATCACTTCTTTATGTGTTCGTGTCTTATCAAATTTTCATTGAGTTTTCTATTAAATGTTAAAAATGGTAAAATTTTCTGTTAAATCCTAAAAAAAATCATGATTAAGATCAAACTTCTATTATGTATTTTCGATTGTTGATTCATGTTGAGGATACAAAAAGCTTAGGTCGAGAGTACAAAAAGCCTATTTATAAGAAATTTTATGTTAAAAACCATTTCATCATTGAATTTTCTCTCTCCTTTTTTTCGATTTGTGTTTTATGTGCATTCCTGAACAAATTCATCGTCGTAAAAAAACGTCGACTCTGTGACCACAATCCAATATGTGTACTATGTTAATAACACTCGATGTCCGAACAGAATTCTTGAAAAACATGATGGTCATGGCTCCACTTTTACCCTAGATGTATATCAAATCACCATGGAATAAATAAAACCTAATTTCTGTTGTAAATTTAAATAAAAAAATATCTGTCTGTCGCAATCTATGCCCGAAAACGAATAAGTAAGTATACATATACCAATCACCATTATTGTTTACCGTCTATGAATCCAAAATATTCACACCTTTGCAAATGGGCATTGATATCATTGTAAAATACTAAATAAACATCACCGAAGCTACCGAAAGTAGAATGTTTCTATGTTAACTTTTTTGTCTTTGTTTACCGAAAAAAGAAGTGTAAAGTGATCACATTTCAACTGGTCTGAATAATTGAAAGAAATCATTTGCTCGTGTGACCTTTTGCTGCTTTCTCTTTCTTTTCTCTTTTCAATTCACTCAATTTCCGTTTTGTTTTATTTCTATTTTCAGCATTTTTGGCTGCGATGTGCGAGGTTGAACCACCTCAAGAGTAAACTAGAGCTTCATCTTGATTCATTTCATTTTATTTATTTTCTTTTTTTTTCTTTTTATAACTTCTTTAAAATAAACTGAATAAAGCGGCATTCACTTATGTAAAAAAAGAATTGAACAATCCGAGAAAAAAATTCAATAAAAAACAAAGAAAATCACCAAAATTTTGCGCTAATTTTAAATCCACAATCATTGTCATAACAAATACACCATTCAATTTAATTACTTCCAAACCCTTGTGATGGAGAATGATTGTACGAAGAGGTCATTTACGCGAAAATTGTTCAATTTTTGATCAATTTCTCTGAAAAATTCATTTCGATATTTTTTTTTTTTTCTTCAAAATTCATAATTGGATCGGATTCACAAAAAATAAAATGAAACTGCCAGTCGAAATGCCATTATTTAATCCATCAACATTTTCCAACCACAAGGGTTTGGTTTTATGAACTGTTTGCATTTCGAGAATATCATATACAAAAAGACCAGATTTCGATTTAAGAAATAGTCGTCTCGAACAATTAAATGGAAAGATGAGCATTAAATGTGTAGCCATTTTCATGATTGCTTTGTTTTATTCTTTTCGTGGAATTTCGTTTCACATTGATATTATTTTCTTCTGGATCAAATCACCTGAAGGTAAGTTAATTTCTTCTTCAGAAGGCAATCGTCTGACATCTTCGACTAAGATCGAAGACTTCGATTTGGAGATGATGGTACCTTGGATAATCTTGTATACTGATATTCATCCAATGCCTTACCAGATTACGGCCTTCGATTAGATTTCTTATAGTTTATCATTGGAAATTTTCAATTCGGTTGCTCAATGAAAACTCCAATTGTCATTCTAAGAGTATACTCTTTCATCATCAAACGTATTAGTGTTCAATCGGAAGTTCATTGAATCATGTGATTTGTTTGATGAATTGAATGCTACTTGATTGAATCATCATTCAATTTTTCTTTCTTTAAATCAAAACACTTCATATCGAGAGTCGAGATCAATCTCCAAAATTCAGCAGCGCTGCAATAAATAAAACACCTGCAATTCTTTTTTTTTCAAATCCATTTTGTTTTTTTTTATTTTTGATTTTTTTTGCATTAACAGAACTGATGTTATTCATTCACATTTGCAATTCCATAGTTTGTCATTGTTTTTTTTTTTGTTTAATCTAATCCCCTTAACTTAGAAAAAACTTTGATTAATTGTCTCTTAAAGATTACATGTTTACTAGATAAACTAAATGAAGGATTTTTAGATGCTTCTATGGCACAATAACATATTCTTTTAAAGGTTTTTTTTTCTTCTTCTTTTTTTGTATAATTTTTAGTAGAAAAAAATTGAATTGTGTAAGTTTGCAAAAACATGCGCATTTTCAGTAAATTCTTTTCCTCATAGATTTAGAAAGATTTGTTTTTGTCTTTTAAAAAAATATTGTTGCTGTCATAAAAATGCATCTGTTCACTTTGAATGTGTTAGTGTGAGGTGGTGTGTTTGTGTGGTGTGGTGTGGTGTGGTGTGGTGTGGTGTGGTGTGTGTATAGTGTTCTTAATATTTACGTGATTGTGTGTATGTTGTGTTTGTGTATTTTGAAATGTGCTTTACAGTTATGTGCATTTTGTGAATGATTGCTTTCCCCTTTTTTCCGTCTATTTCACTGTAGTGAATTGTAAGATTTTTGAAAAATCTCCTCGTTTTTTTTTTCTCTCTACCACCCCATCATATCATAGAGATTGTAAAATGAACTGTGAACGAATAGTAGCTGCCATCACAATTTTTAAAAAACAAAATACAAAGAGAGTAAAACGGTTTCGTAATAAATAAATGCAAGTTTTAAGCCTTAACTTCGATGTATAACAAAGGTATATAAAAAATTGGGCTGAGATTACGAAATTCCATGGAAAAAAATTGAGTATTTGTTTGGTTCGTGATGCGACACCATTGCATATTTGTTTCGGTTGTGTTTGAATTTGGCGGCGTGTGTGTGTGTGTGTGTCGGTCTATATGTGAGAGAACGATTTTCTGCGCGCAATGTGATCGCACGGTAGAAGAACAAAACTCGACGGTGGCTATTGTGTTGGGTTTCAGATTGTACAACAAGAAGATTTACATGACGATACACTTTCGTTGACGCCGTTTCATTGGTTCTGGTTTCAAAACGGCTCGAACAGCTTCATCGAATACCTAGAAAATGACAAAATGATTTTAGATTATTATTTTTGTTCTCTCCTCTGTTTCATAATGAGCACATTTCATGCAAATGAGATGCTTCAAAATCATTAGCATCTTAAAACCGACAAATAAATGAACCTAAAAAAATAAGCGACTCGATGCATGCAGTTTGTGAATGGTGGTCAAACCTGTTTTAGTCCTCGTTGCGTTAGCGCTGAACATTCCATATATTTTACGGCTCTAATTTTATTGGCTAATTTTTGACCTTGTTCGCGCTTCAACGGCGACAAACCTTGCTCCGATAAAGCACTTAACGTCTCTCTGTCATCCCTTAAATCTATTTTGGTACCTATTGAAAGGACAAAGAACGAGAAAAAAACACGTTTGTTAGAAGATGAACAATGAGTGAATGTATGGACATTTTGAACGAGTTTCGCTAACTCACCAACTAAGATCATTGGTGCATCGGGGCAGTGATGTTTTATTTCCGGATACCATTTCGATGTGACATTCTCAAATGATGACGGGCTGAAAAGAAACAAACCGATTGTTCGTGATTACGATGACTTGGCATAACAAAACATTTAGTGCTTACCTTGCAACACTAAAACAGACGAGAAAAACGTCAGTCTGTGGATATGACAAAGGTCGCAATCGATCGTAATCCTCTTGGCCAGCGGTATCCCATCTTGAAATGGAAAATGATTGTCAAAATCAGCGTTTTTTTCTTCTCATAATTAAAAAATCGTTCTGAAACGACAACATTGTTCGACAATGAACGAATAAGTTCGAAATAATACTTACAGTCCGAGTGAGACTTGAATACCATCCACCACCATTGGAGCGCTATAGTTGTCAAAGCTACAGATAAAGAAAAAAGGAAAAAATCGCATTTTATTTCAAAATTCTCACACTAAATTGCTTGATTTGTACAATGGAATTGACCGTTTACTCACACTGTGGGTACATATTCGCCGGGAAAGCTGTCTGTTGTGTAGGAGATCAACATGCAAGTTTTTCCCACTGTGCCGTCGCCAACAACAACGCATTTTATTGGTCGTCCAGATGACATCTGTAAGGCAGAAAAGCGACTGTTTTGTCAAAAATTCAATTGGAAATGTTCATGCAACCACTGAATTGTGTTTTATTCGATTCGGCTGAATGAGACAATCGAGCATATTTGCTCCGCACCGAATGCGAATGTGATGTACAAGTAAATGGGCTTGCTTTATTTGATAGTCAACCATTTTTAACGGCAATTTATTTCTTAATTTTGACTGCGTTTCTTCTCAATGAACCGTAAAATAACTGTTTGCATTGAAGCGAATTATAATTCACCAAGTCGCCAAAAAGAAAGAGAATCAAACTCCATTCAACATTTATCAAAATGGTATGCCGTACTAATGTATGGGTCTATGGACGTATAGATATGGTAATACGTTATATTACACACACGCGCTCCGTAGTTAAGTAGCACAATTGTAAGACTCAATTCGGGTAATTTGATATTTCAAAGCCATTTAACGACGGCTCAAAATCGTTCCATTCAAACTAGAACGATTAAAATGTCGACACCATAAATGGTATACACACACACATCATCAACAACTCAACTACTCACAACTCTTTGATTAATACGTGCAGATATTCTCTCTGCACACGAGATTCACTGAACCAATGTGCAAACTGAAATTATTAGTTGACTGTCGTTGTCGTCGTCGTCGTTGTTGTTGTTGTTGTTGTTGTTGTTACTGGTGTAGCTGTCTTGTCGTGTCGTGTCGCTGCTTGAATACTACGACTGTTGTTCTTGAATGAACAGCGGAAAAAAAGTCACTCGAATGCAACCCGAAGAGGAAAAAAAACAGAATATAATAATGCGGTACGTGTGAATCAATTACAATTGTTGTGAAGATTTTTGGAATTCCGTCTCAATTAAAGCCACTCGCATCGGCTTGAAAGGCACTCTCAAGCGGTTTAATGCGTTAATAAATTTAATCGTATTATCTCGATATATATAAACAGCAATGAATATCAACTCTTGTGATGGGTTATTTTGAAGAGAGGTTGTTTTGAACATTTCTTTTGAAGAAAAGAAAAACGAAATAAAAAAACTACATCAATCTGTGTACCAATTCATCCTTCGAACTCTGAGAAGATGAAAAGGTATCCAATGACGTCATGATATTGAAATAATAAACCATCATCTCTTTTTTGATACTGACACAAAAACAGCGACACAAACGCACATTTTAAAGGGGGCTAAGAGCAACCGAAACCATGTTTACTTTTTTCTCTCTATCTCTAAATTTTCAGCAATCTCATCTCGCACTGAAAATACCACGAACATTTAACGCCGTTGGTTTTTTTTTATTTCATCGAGCATTCGGCTTTACACACACCGAATTTGCAGCATATAACCGAGCATTTTAGATAGAGAGCGAGCGAGTGAGTGAGTGAAATTGAGTCCGTGTATTCATGACGTGCGCTTTATTTACACACGGGCCATCGTATTTATATCCGTTCTCACTCTGACTTTGTATAAATATAGAATTGATGTGGTTCTTGTGAACGACTTTAAAATCCCAACATATTTGATTTCCTTCTGCTTTCCACCTCTCTCTCTCTCTCTCTTTCTCTCTCTTTCTCTCTCCCTCTCTTACGTCGTCCCTCACTCTCCTTCGCTCTTGGCCGTTTGCTCTTTTATATGCTAGGCTCGAGCCGTCGATCGCATCAGATTTTCCATCCATCTCATTTGGCTCGTTAATACGTTATATTTATAACGCCAAAATCTCATTGCGAGATTTTCGATTTAGAATTTTTCGAGAGACAGAGCTACGGGCAAGCGAACAGTTTCGACTTTTGGTATTTCAATTTTGTTTAGTTTTCGGTTTCTATTTGTATAACTGCGGGAACCGAATGATATAAGTGTTATTTTGTAAACATGAATGATATATTAGTTTTCATTTTGAAAGAATTCGTTTGAACATAGAGTTAAGATAGACTTCGGTTAGCTAAATTTGGTTTGAAAAGTCGATGAAATGGAATCAAACACGAAAGAATGCATCGATTGATGACGACGGTCGATGAATTCGGACAACGACACTTTAAAATAAGATGGAATGAAACGAAATTATCATAAAAATCAATTAAAAAGGAAAACGTTAAGTCGTCGTGTATCCACACGAGAATTACGGCATGTCGATTGCAGCTGAACAAATTGCTTTCATTTCTTGTCTCAATTTCTTTCTCATTCTTTGTTCTTTGTTTGCGGTTCAGTCTTATTGGCTTTTAGTCATTCTCTCAATTTCTTTATCAATCTGTGTGTTATAGATGGAAGGAGAGTCTTGACCGCGCTCGGTCGCTGACTATTATTATGTTATTCATTTCAATTTCAGTTAATTTGTTCAACTATAAACCATTCAATTGAAGCACAAACATCCAACACACACACACAATGAGTGCGCATGAAGCGTACACATCGGCTGATTCACTCGTCTTTCTTCTTTCTCACTCTTTCTCTCTGTCTCTGTGCATATTGCGAATTGCACGAATTATGAAATCATTCGTTCATCACAATTAGACGTTTAAAAAGGCGAAACAAACTCGTTATTAAATGATTGACTGGAAATGGAAATCGTAACTTTCTTTCGAATTTTTTTGCCTTCAATTCGATAATATGTCAAAGTTGAAACAAATTATTCGACCGGCATTTCAGACGTAATTAATTCACAAACACATTCGCATAGCTCTTTGTCGCCGAATTCAAGATGAAAAAAAAAACACATTCGTTTACTTAATACATTTTTCCGTTTGCTGCGTACCTGAAATGAATGATGAACCAATAAATTATGCTAAAAATCAATTTCAAACACTGTTTACACACACACAATTCAACACGCGTTAGCACCTTGTCTCGCAAAATATTGGAACACACAATTTTAATCGGTGACAATTTTACTGCACATTCGTTGCGTTGTTATTTCTATGATACATTGGACATCACATACAAGAGAAGAAAAAACATCGACCGAATCAAACAAATCCAAAATAAACATGAACTCATAAATCACACGGCGCGATGTTGTTGTGCCTGATTGTAAGTTCACACAATGTCTTTCGCTTGTTTTTCTGTTTTTGTCGCCGATATGGGTTTATTTTTCCGCTCGTTCGCACACCGATTGCCGATTGGTTTGATATCCGTAAAATAATGATTTTTGGCTGCTTGATACACAATTTTGCGTCAATTACTGGAAGCCGCCGCCTTTTAAAGCCGCTCTTCTGTGCAATTATGACCGCTTTGACAACAGATACATGAAGAATCCTACACAAGCACAATGACACTCATATTGTCTTTGGGATCGATTGCCATCCATCTAGTGGCGAGAGTTGAAAGTTTTCGTTTTCACGAGGCGTCGGCTCACACAGTTTTGAAACGTCATTCGCACACACAACGAACAGCGTTCGCATCTGTTCGACTAGTAACATCACTCTCCGTTACATGGACAATGCCTCAGTGTTAGAGCGGGGCAGAATGAGAAAGACAAATGCTTCGGTCGACAGTAATACAAATGTTTTGCTTTTTGACATGTTTTTATTCAGCCGTTGCGAATGGGTGGTTCACAATGCAAATGGTGTAGATTCAATTGAATTTTTGAAGTCAACTGACTGTTTTAGCGGAATTGGTGTGTAACAATGGAATACAAAACCGAAATTGCAGTAATTATTTTTAATATACAGAAAAAAGTACAACTGTTTTTCTTTTAATTTAAAGCTGTGAATACATATATGTTTCCTATGTTGATTTTTGAATTTACAAGCTATTTCAAAGTACCCAAAAGTACTCTATTGAATGATTCTGATTGAATATTTGCTTTAAAATACAATATTTGTCTTTCTTTAAAAAACATTCATCTCTTGGTGATGCAATGTGCATTTGTTCTTACCATTTCTCTATTGCATGAATTCGTACGGTGAACTTCGATTCTACCGTCTCTGATTTTACACGAAAAATTAATGAATTTAGTCACTCCAGTCGAAAGGGAATCTTTCTTCTAAGAAAAGACCAACGATTGTTTTTTGAGGTTGAATAGATTTTTGTCTGGAAATTCATTCACAATGTCGGGCTGAAGGAATATTGTTGACTTTGGAAAAATCATCTAGTCTTGTTTTTCTAGGATGAGCCGAAACGATTCCATTAACTTTTGAAACAACAATTGCTATCCTCATGGAGTTGTGCAACGCCAATCGAGCACTAAAAAGCTTTCAATACATTGAGATTTTGGTAATATATTGTTACGTGACTTGATTTCTATGAATATTTCGATAGTATCCCTGATTATTATCTGCATGTACTTTTTGTGTACTTCATATTTGTACAACTTTCATGTTAATCCAATATTAAATGTAAATGAAAATGGATATTAGCGTTATTTGTTCAAATGTATTCAATTAACACGATTTTCATATTCATAAATACAAAAATAGGTAATTAGGATGATTGCACATGAATGATGAAATATTCCTTTGGATATTGGCGCGGATGACCTAAGCTGACCTCAAAAAATTAATTGCAGAATCGTGTAGTAATTTACATTCATTGAATTCATCAATATTTGGATCAACCGATACCGTACCAAGATCCAAGCGAAGATTCATTCAAAAAGATAATATGAACGTAAATTTAGTACGGTCTCCATTGTGTTTTGTAAATTTCCGCAAAATCGAAGAATAAGGACATTATCTGATTTGATTGGTAAATATTCATGCATCTATCAATTCTTCTCGTTATCCATACATATTCAGCATGTATTTCAACTATGGATATTATTCGCAGTACCCTTAGTTTACAACGATAAACACGCTCATGTGTATCAGTGATTCCGGTTCGATTGCTTGGCTTGTTGTCAACATGCTAGTTTAACGTGATGCTGACCATTACATGAACAAATTACATTTCTTCAAGAAGTTTCGTTTCATTTAAAAAAAGTGGCATAAAAATCGCCAAGGGAACATTTTGAAGACATATTTGTTTCGTTGCTTCATCGAGGAAGTTACTGGAAAAATAACGTCGGAAATAAAAGCCAACATTTTTCCTTGTTTTGTGCCCATTTCAATTTATTTCTGTTTTATTTCATTCAAAAAGGGAGTTTCAATCTAAAAGTTTATGAATTGGTTGCATTAAAAAAATCGAAAATGCATTTCAAATTCTGGAGATGAATTACTTCCGAGTTCAATTATTCTATCTGTTTGAAGGATACATAAACAATTGACTACTTTTTTAATAAATCCATGGGATGAGTTATTGGTTATTTCTTCAAGCGGTGAACGGTCTTCATGTGTTGATCGGCATTACCTTTTCTGACAAAGCTTACTTTGCATAGTTTGCATGGAATCCTCTCTCCAGTGTGATTTGTTCGCATGTGAATCTTCAATCTATCGATTTTTCGACAATGCTCTTTACACAAGTGGCATCGATACTGTCGGTGGCGACAGCTTTCTTCATGTCCATTTTTTATACCTTCGGTTGCATATCCGCCGAAGCATTTGGAGCATTCAAACGGGAACTGATCGCTGTGTCCTGTTGACAAATGTTGATTTAGGTTAATTCGTTGGACGAATTCTTTGCTACAAATTCCATATTTGATCGATCTTTCGGCTCCGTGTTTCGATTGCATGTGCAGTATCAAATGATCCTTGCGTATAGTTTTGTAATGACACACCTTACATGCCAATCGAATTCGTTGACAGCGCGTTTCGTGTGTTTGCTCCTCTTCTGGAGTGGCGAATCGTCGATCACATTTGGAACAAGCATTCGGCAGTTCAGCCAAGTGAGTTATTGAATGGCTTTGTAGATGGCTCTTCTTTGTAAACGCCTTGAAACAAATTGAACACTCGAACGGCTTTGCTCCTGTGTGAATCCGCATATGATAAGTCAAATTTATTTTTTGCTTTGCCTTATGTCCGCAAATTTCGCATTCGAATTGGCGCGGATTACAACATCGTTCATGGTTGATCGTAACCGATTCTCGTTCAAAACCTTGATTACATTTTGTGCAACGGAATTGGCCGTGCGTTTTCTTATGACGAATCAAATTATATTTTCGTGAAAAGGTATTCGAACAAACATCACATTGAAATGGCTTCTCTCCAGTGTGAATTCGTAAGTGTGTTAGGAGGTTAGACTTACTGAGCGTCATATGATCGCACACTTCACATTTGTGCTTCTTTTGCATTTTTTTCTCTTTATTCCTGGGAATCGTGCGCTTGTTTTGTTTTTTAGCATTTCCATTCCTTTTCCTCCCACTGCCAACTGGTTGCGGTGGTTGAACATCGACTACGCCACTCATCTCGTTATCATCACCATTTGCGACGTTCTCATTCGGTCGATCACATGATGTCGACTCCTTTCCGTTGCCCGTTTTTTCTTCCTCGCATTTGATTTCATCCTTTATCCCATCGAAGTCACATGCAAAGTCAACTGGTCCTTCGTACATCGCACGATATCTTCCAGCAACTCTTGGCCTTGGTACATCAATGACACCTTCTTTGTCGCATTCTTGCTTAATGACAGGCTCTTGTTTGATTTCTACCTTTGTCAACTTTGACTTGCGCTTACACCGCCTACCAGAAACACCTCTGAACGGGTTCATTATCTGTTAAATTCAAAAGAAACATCAAATGTACAACATTAACAAATGAATCATCTCAATGCAAAACACGTGGTTAACGCACACTAAATGTGCACACTGCGCACACTTTTAGGTGTATTTAATGCTATGTTTCTTCAAACGAATATTTTTTTTTGATTTGTGACTTTTTTTTTATTACGACGATTTCCAAAATCCTAATCCCAACTTCGGAATAAATGGAAAATATTCATAACTTACGTCTGCCCTTGCCTTTTTTCTGTTGAAATTTAAATAGTTTTTTCCGCGTATTGTCTTCAAAATGTCTGCCTCTTTCTGAGACCCACTGGAAAATAGCAAGCTCAGTAGAACAGAACCCACAGCATCGATGATGCGATGCAAACGATTGCTTGCCTTTGACATTTCGCTAAGTTGGCAACAACGCCAATCGTATACACTTAGTCTCCAGTGGCTATTTTTGAGGAAATTTATTGTTCAATTCGAAAACGTCCGTTAAAATCCTGGTATTTTTTACAGATTCAAATTTTAGTTGACCGCTATTATCATTTTGTCATTATAATTCAAAAAAATACGTGATAATTGGACTATTCTCAATACTCTATGAATGCAACCTATTTGAGTAGAGAAATACGGAACTAAGCAGCCAATATTAGTTACCACTTATGCGAACTGAATGAATAAATAATTATTATCGATGACAATGAAACAGGGTAGATGATTGAAAATCATAAGCAGTTTGAATTTAAATAAAAATTTGGGTGATTGCATCTAAGGAAAATGCAAAAAAAATATCGTTGAACACAGATCAAACTTGCGCATTCACTTTCACATGTGAAATTTAAAAAAAACATCATAGAACGGAATGTCAAACAACGACACACTCAATTGTTATGTTTATGTTGAAATATAAACAAATGAGTATCAAGAATCCGCATGCTTCACGGACGTTGCAAATAATATAGGAAGTGTCGGTACAAATGCGCTAAATCTAAATGGAAACATTTATTTAGTTGAATTTTATTGAAATAATGATATGTTAAAAAGAATACAAGTCATTTTCGATTGAATCATATCGGATTTCTTCGCATTTTCATATCTCGTCGATTGCGCTACTGAAGGGAAGACCCCCGTTTGATTTGAATATCGAGCGTGAAAGTGCCAACTAAAACCGAGACATTTCGTTTCACACTTACGGACTTGGATTTCAACATAAAAAAAACCTAACCTCACTGAAAACAGGAACTTTTTGGTGATTCAAATTGATTCACAAATTTAATTACATGTTTTGTTGAATTGATGTGAATATGGAATGCTTCAAAATGATCTCTGAAATGGCAATGCAATTGCAAAACATAATGCATCCATTGGACAGCTTTTGCCATAATAATTAAACTATGATTTTTTGAATTTTAAACTTCAAAAGTTTTAATTGGGAGCATTTGACACAAGCGGAGACAATTTACAAGGCATCAAATACTTACTTTTCATCTATTTGGCTTCACCTCAGGAAAAGACGTATATGCAATTAAGATACGCGAAATTATGATGTGAGAATAATTTTTTTTCTTGAACTTTCCTTCAACCGCATTTCCGTCACACCGTCCCACGAAATTCAACCCACATACCAAAGGAATATTAAGTTTTATGGAAGCATTCATTTTCATCTCTTTTAGCTCTGCCCACTTTGAGACTATGATTTTGTAATGTGTTTGGATTGTGTTTTTAAACGATTAGATTTATTAGACATTTTAATATTCGTACAATGACTACTTTCGCAAATTTTCCATCGTATTGCCAATATGACACATCTCTGATGCATCAGACAGAGAAAGCGCATTTGCCACCTCGGCATTTAATCTTTATATCCATCTTTATGTACCATTAAGCAAAGTAAATCAAGGATTCACGTGTCGATCCTGATCTGCGCTAATCACTTTTTCGTTTACACAAAAGCCTGCTATTTGGATTTGTGTTGAGTACTTAAGTTAATAAAACATATCGACGCCTACTGACCCTTTTTCACACTCATTTCTAATCTCACGAACACAACTGTAAATATCAGCCAACGGCGAAGAAGCATCAAAATGTTCATATCGGTTTCAGGTGTAAAATTGAACATTCCGATACGATTGGATGCAGAGTATTTTTTCATGAAATACGTAAATGAATCAATTTATGTTGCTTTGGATGAAATGAATCAAGAAAAATTACTTCCTAAAAACTGATTGATTGATGTTGTGAATGATACCAATAAAGTCGAAATAGGAAAACCTAAATTTCTATTCCAAACTAAAAATTTTACGAGAAAGAAATTAAAGAGCTAAAAAGAAAATATTAAATTTTAATTGAATTTTCAGAGAGTTTTCTAAAAAAAAAATCAGAAAAATTTTCCTGTTTTCGGGGGAGTGTTTTGAATTTGTAGGTGGATTTGATTTTATCCTCATAATTTTCGCATGTTGTATTAAAATGAATATTTTCTAAATTGGATACTGTAATATTATCGATAAAGCATAGAAAAACTGATATTTATTGACAATTTCTTGTTAAAATCGGAAACAAAATGATAAATATTCAAGAATTTTCATCTTTGTACCACATTTTGCTAAAATCATTTTGGTCAACCTTTTGAAAACAAAACAAAAAAGTTAAAAGTAAAACCAATAAGTTATGCTAACAATTTGTTTTGCTGAGTCGACTTTGAACATTCGAGTCATTTTTTCTCAACAGTTAGACCAACATTGTTATATTCAATGTGAAAGAATTTAATCTGGTCTGTGCATAGTTTTGACATATTGTTGACAGTTGAACACATTGACCTTTTCCAAATAAGTGCAAATGATGCAATGAATCACTATTATCGCATCTGTTAACATGTTTGCCGAAATAATTTGTTTATAAAGCAAATTTTCGACGAAAACTGATAGGAAGTTGTACAAAAACTGCATCACAACTATTGTGAAGTAGTTTCAAAAGGGCGCATAACGGCTTACTTAATGAAATTCATTGCATCGTACGATTGAATAATGAACAAAATGTTGATAACTACAACAGCAACATAAGTGCAACGATAGCTATGGCAAAAGGTTGGATACGTTATATGAGTTAAAATATTGATTTATGAAGCCTAACAAAAGCACTTCTTTGCATATGTCTAGCCTTAAACTTGACATGGAATATTTTGCTTATGAAACCAATTAAAATTATTTGAACAAATCTTCAGTTAGTCAGCAAATTCTGTGTGTGACCATGAGTTTCTATCCACATTCACAATCGGCCGGTATTTGCCGTCTCATTGTCATGGCCGGAAAAAAGGCCTAGTCGATATTACAGCTTGATTCGTTTGTTTTACTCCCGTGACATTTGGAAAATCATTTTTATCTGCGTCCACAGAAAAAATATTGTAGAAAAATCGTGATAGTAAAAAACATTTTTTAATCGAAAAAGGAAACTAAAATCTCTATTTCGCACTAATAAAGTTCTTAATGGTTCCGCTGTGCGATTAACACGGATGATTTTGTGATTGCACGAGTTTTGAATGAGTTGAATCTGAATGCAGTCAAACTATTTGAAGAAAAAAAAAATGAAAAACAGGCAGTAAATCAAACCTCTATACAAATATAGGCGCAAATGTAAGTACAGAACAAAACGAAAACAGTGAAGAAAAAAATACAATCAGCGCGCTTCGAGTGATAAAATAGAAACGGGAATAATAACAATACTTTTGCGAAAGAGACAGAGACAGAGAGAGAGTGAGATGGAGTGACAGTGAACATAAACATTGCCGTGGAAGTACGGAAGAAAATCTCCGCGACGCACGTGTTCATCTGTTCCAACGACGACGACGAAGAAACAAAAACACACAAATTACGTGGCTATAGCGTACACACATGCAATGTTTGTACATTTGCTTCGTCGTTGCAATAACATTCGTAATAAGTGACGCATATTGAAATTGTGGAAGCATAAGTCTGGAAATGGGTTTTCTTTTTAATTAACCGAATGCATTGAAAAATAACCATTTGCAAATCGGAATCACATTCAACACGACAATGCGTTGTTTATTCGTTCATTCTTCAGCAAACGTGGAAATTATGTGTAAATGCGACGTGGTTTTAGCGCGACTCTCTTCATTGGGACAAGAAAAAAAAACATGGGATGTAGAGTATATGGTGTGGAAAGAAAATACAAAACAGCTTTTTGACGAAATGTTTATGTGAAACGCAAACGGCAGAGAATGGAAAAAAATATAACCGAAAATGTGTGAAACGACACAGCGACAGAAAAGGTTTGAGGAGGTCACGCATACACACAATCATTGGACGACGATGCGAGAGAATACAAATTACTCTTTTTCCTTACGAATTTATATTTTAAGGGGAGTAAAATGCCGTCATACAATCTGTATGTATGCATCGTCATACACGGTTGGCATCGTCTCATACACAGCAACGTCGAATGCTCTGCACTAACTAAGAAAAAAAATGATCACAAAATGTGCTCAAATCGATTATGAAATCCATCGATTCACGTTCAATTGCAACAAACGCATCAGCGATCATAGCGACAATTGGGGCCAATTCGAACTTGATCACTGATAAACGCAAAAATTGCACGTTTCAAAAACACTTTCGTTTGTATCGTCTGAACGCAATGTTTGGTTTGAACAAATGATATACACAGAAATTAACTGTGAATGGAATGTTCAATGAATTGTAAACGAAGTCTACACACGGCCCAAACCGCAGACGGCGCGTTTTTGTTGTCTGAATCGAAGCGATTTGTTCCAGCGAGTGAGAACTCAAGTGAGAAAAAATTGTCATCATCACATTTGTTTACACACAAAGAAAACGAGAATAACAAAAAAAGGGAAGACTGTTTCGACTGTGTTAGGCTTGTTTTTTCCGCGGAATTCGTGCAAAACTCAAATTGGGTGCTGTTTTTAGCCAAAATCACACTCATAAAAAAACATATTTGGAAAGTAGTAAAACAGAAATGAGATAATGATTGTAAAAAAAATTCCAACCTCGACATTACGAAATGTGTTCGAATGAAAACAGAGGGCAAAAAAGCAACACAAACTGCTTTATTTGAATGAACTGATGGAAGAAATTCGATCGAAATATCTATGAAAATTGTGAAGCGATAACGATCTATTAATGAGCAAATATCTGAGGCATGTGGACGAATGCGAATAACGAAAGATAAATACAGACGTCACAACTAAGCATTTTTTTATTTATTTACTATATCAGTTTAGATATATTCAGGCGAAATATTTACGCTACGAACGCAGTCGACTGAAACTGCGTAGTAAAATACTGTGCTACACAAAGTTAAGCTAAGTAGAGAAATTAGTTTGCGTTTTCTGATCCATCTCTATCTCGTTTTTTCATTCCTGTTATCTCTCATTCTATCGCTCTCGATCCGTCATCGTTTTTGATTACCCTCCGTTTGCGTTACTCTCGGACTCACGCACGCAACATCCCGATGCGCAAAACGCCATTTACATATATAGCGTTTCAACTCGCCACACATGCCACCTGATTTCACTCACTCTGTTTTGCGCGGTGCGAAAGATAGAGCGATCACAAAAATAAATGGTAACACTCGAACAATCAAGCAACGCTTGCTGCTACTGCGGCTCTCTGCGTTCAGGGCAAAAATAAATTTATCTCATTCCAAATCGATTCTAGGAAAATCACATTACATGATTCGACGATATCTATCTTTTTGTTTCTACTTCTTCATATTTTTTGCGAATCAAATGAAGAGAAATGCTGCGCATTTAAATCCACAAGATTAAGTGGATTGACTCATCGAATAAAAAGTTTTGCTTGCCAATTGTACGCAACAAATCAATTTAACATTCATGATTGATATCGCATATTGTACAGTAAAATGCATCGCGGACTGAACGAAGAAAAAAAAATATCTGGATCAACTGTGATTGTTATCGAAAAAATGTGACCAGTTCTGAATGTGACCATTTCAAATACGCGGCAACCGCAAAAGCGACAAAGGGAAAGAGAGAGAGAGAGAGAGAGAGAGAGAGAGAGAGAGAGAGAGAGATCAACCAATTGGAACAGACGAAACGGAGCAGCAAAGAGATTTAAATAGGGAGCGAGAGAAAGAAGGATCGTCTGCGTTGCACGGAGGCATGTCTCCGTAAATAATGAAATTCTATTTGTACATTGTTGCAAACGACAACATTGACTATAATATACAAACTTGTCAATCGCACGAGTGCTAAAATTGCCCGTATGCGCCGAGTATTGCATGCTATTCAATGCTGCGTGAGCATTTGTGCGTTCGTCATGTCGATTGTAAAATTGGATTGTAGAGCGATCTGGCGGCATACCACACTCATAAATCTTATAACGATTTTTAATGCATTTTGTGCACATCATGAGAATTTTATGGGCTATTTTTTGTATGCGCGCATATTTTTTTTATGTCATATGCACGCGGTTTGGAAAATATGGACCAGACAATCACATGCCAGTTTCTCTCTATTCCTCTTTCTTCGTGCATTTCCTTTGTCTTGATTCCACGCTATTATGCGTTCCGCCCAATGCAATGAATGGCAAAGAATAAATTCACGACAATCGCTTATATCAAGTTTGAATGAACGGCGAACTCTCTGCGCACAAATAAAAGCATCGGGACAGTCAAAGCGTGTATTGTCTGTACTTCCTTTTCAAAGAACGGAAACATTTAACGCGCTAAAAAAAAACCTAAACAACGCAGCACATTTCAATCATATTCAAATTGTATGTCAAGATAAACGTAGTGCGTATGTATCGACCCCCCCGAAACGAAATGAGCACGAGAGTATTGAAAATGTATAAGCGCAATCCTCTTTCAGTTCACTTCGACTGTATTGCTTCAGCAACATATTCTAATGTTCGCATTCAATATTTAAATGACCTCCAAATCATTTGGTTCAGTGTATTGGTTTAAAAGTCTATTCGCGCACATACCATACAATTCCTTTGCATACTATTAGTATTATGCTTTTTTCTCCTCTTCTGGTTCGCTCACTCACTCGTTTCTTTCGTTCATTCAAACTTGGATAATGTTTGAATTACACGCGTTCGTCACATTTGCACGTCAATAATTGATCAAGTAAGCAATTATGTGTGCGTTTTACGATGTTATATTTTTGTTCGTTCGTTCATTCGTGTATGTAGCGAGTAGCGAGCGGAACAAATTTTTACTCACTCCGTCACTCGATGTGTGTTTATGTATGAATATCATTTAAGTAGAAAATATTTTAATTTGATTTTGCTCGCTCTCTCGTACGTGGGCATATTTGAATCGTCAATTCAAAATACTGCTTACGATTTTCGGCAGGAATTTGTACAAAATCAATTTCGTGTTAAAATATAGAAGAAACAGATTAGGAATTTGAATGCTACGCAATCACAATCATTTTTCTTTTTTTTCTTTCTAATTTTGCCGGAATTTTTATCATTTTTTTTTTCTTCATTTTTTTCATGTTGGGTTTGATTTCCATGCCTTTTTTGCTCAATCTTTTATTCTCTCAAATTAAATTTCATTTCAGCTGTATATTCCCCTTCAACAAAGATATAGAATGAATGAAAAAAAAAAATAACAGAAGCGGGTTAATTTATATAATAATCGGCTAAGAATTATGAAACACAAACTGGTTCTAATTGGATTGATTCTGGCTAAAGACCAATAAATTAGAATAATTCTTTTCGGGTTGGCTGTTGTGTTTTTTTTTTAGAAATTGCGGTGTGAAATGCAGCACACCCGAAAAGATCGAAGGATGGTACGAGCAAGAGATAAACAGAGGGAGGGAGTAGACTGAAATGTTTGACTTTTGCCCCAGTTGTGTCAAGTATACCGAATAGATACTTAAGCACCAAAAATTATCGTACATTTTTCTATTGACTTGATAATAATTTTTTTTTTTCTTATATTCATTAGCATCTGTTTTATCAACGGCTTACCTACCTAGCCAAGAGATAATCGAATATATTTTCTATTGACATAGCAAAAATAAAACCGGCGCAACCAACGCACACACAATTTAAACTCGTTCAAGATCAAACATAAATAAATAGATAGCATGATCTCTATAATGAGCAATGAATAAACAGAAAAAAAGTTTCAAATCACTTGCTGAAAAACGTTGGCCGGTTTACATGCAATTTTTTTGCTTGCTATTTCTATATATTTCTCCCTCTTGCCTTTTGCCACTGCTCTAAACCTCTCACTCTATCATTCCTTCGTGTTGTGTTTCACTCCCCTTTGAACCGTCCTCCTCTGGCTCTTTTCCTCCTGTTCTCGTTCACTTTGTCTCGTTCTCGTGATGATATGTGTGCAAAAAAGCCAGATTATTATCAAACAAGACGATTATTCTCATGAATCTAAGATCAAATCGAATTCATTTCCTCCGCTACTTACATTCACACAGACAACAATGTTGATCATCACTGTTCATCGCTTGAATTGAATGAGATGTCCCAGAAGTGAAGGAATGAACAGATGGATTTTTTTTTCTTTTGAGAAAAGGCTCTTTTGTTCATACGTCATATATGTAAATTGCGTGCGAACGTAAAGAGCGCGCGAGAATCACGGTTGAAAGTACGTAAAATGCAAAGTTTTTTTCTGTTCTCCTCTTTCGAATGCAATGCGCACATCTGCACTGCACACCACTTGCCATACAAAAAATATCAACGATACTGATTTAAGCACCAATTAAATAACCAGCTAAAAGGAATTAGTATGGGTTCAACTACTCGAAAGATATACCATTCATACAATACATTTCTCGTTGTCTTTCTTCTTTTTCGTTCTATTTACTGGTGCGCCATGGTAAATTCAATCGTGCATTGGTCAGAGGCTGAACCGTGAGTTGAATTTAATCAACTAGAAGAATGTTGTATATCGGTATGCATTTACTTCGAGATTACGCACTCACGATGTAAAAGACGAAATATACCGTATAGTACTCTGTTAATATTTCATTACAGCCCGAAAAAATTTTTCCCTCTTCAATTTCATACATCGTTTCGTTCATTCCAAAACTTTACCTACATTGTCCTAATTGCGATAACATTTCATAAATCATCGATGATTTTATACCAACCGAGTGAACATTCTACAATTACTGCCACTCAACGCTAATCGTTGTGCTTTGGAATTGGTTTCTTTTTTTTCGTTCAAGAGCCTTTTCAATTCGTTCTTTTCGTTGTGGTAGTTTATTTGGTATATTGATAACATTCGGACTGATAGCATTCGAATTTGATAAAATGCGATATGGATAGTTCTTGTGACCGAAAACAGTGATAAAGCAGTGAAGATAGAAACACGAAAATAAAGAATTTATTATCATTTCGAATTTGAAGGCAACGATTTTCTGTCCTTATCTCTCTCGTTGCCTCTTCATGGCTGTCTCTCTTATTTTTGGTGCTTTATGAATGTGTGTGTGTGTGTGTGGCGGTCAAATTTTTCCAAAAGGCCGAGAACGAGAGATACACAGCAAATGCTTCATCAATTTACATAGATGTGAACTGAAATGAAAATGTTGTAATGGACAGAATGGAAAAAAATGTTTTATTTATTCATTTTGGCTCATACGGAGTGGCCCAGTCCAATCAAATCGAATCGAAATTGAAACTAATCAAATCGACTCCACATTATTATTCAATTACACACGCGGTATTGATGTCGACGACTACGAACTTACGACATACACACACACACACACACATACAATGTATATAGTTCGATGTGCGACGCAGTTCGCTCTCTCTCTCTCTCACTCTCTTTATTCCCCGATAAGCTCATTTATAATAATTTAACTTTGAACATAAGTTAACAGTTCGATCATCGCACTCACACACTGTTGTGTCAGTCGCAAGCGCTCATTGTATATGTTTTCTTTTTCCTCTGGGGCCTTCGTTGTGTGTCTGTCTTTCGTGCGCACGGTTCGCTCGCTCATGAGTTGATATGGTATCGTTTTCGCGTTAGGCAAGAATCTCGATAGTGGCACTAATGCCCGTCAATTGATAATTTTCCATCATACATAGACAAGCACATGCATACGCGCCAATTCAGGTTACACGTTTATATGCGACATTCAAGAATATTCATTAGACTTTGGCGACCACTATGATTGTAGTAGCTTTTTTGTGCAGCTCTCCATTTGATTCAATTGCGAATGTAGCTCATATTTCTTTGTTGTGAGCATCAGGAGCGTTGTGGACCAAAAGAACATAAGGTAGTTAAAATATCAACGCACACTGGGACCGTTTTTTTTTTTCGCTCTTTTCAATGTTATTGCTAAATTCTCGTTTGAGAGTAGTGCACTTGTCTAGCGTTTAAACGCAATAAAGCTTCAAATTATTATCACATCACTGAACACTGTGTTGTCTGTATGAATACACTAATACCGTGTCGAACACACAATCTGTCAAGATACGACACAACGTCGAGTGTGTGTATATGAGTGTATATGAGTGCGGCGTGTGTGTTTGAATGAGAATGTGAGAGAATGAATAATGTTTTTGCGGAGTGTTGTGAGGCCAAATCCGCTTGATCGTCGTACTTGGTCAGTTGTACATGGTTTTGGTGTTTGAAGTATGTCCAATTGGTTCTCTCCGTCGTTCCAGTGCTTTTTATCGTTGCGTCTCTCCATACATACTCATACGTTACGTCGCTCGCGCTTCGAAAGTATTCGCTCGTGTATCGCAGTCGAAAGCATGTTCACGAGTACCATACAAGCACACATATACATATCGTATGGATTTCGCTCCCGCTCCCGCTCTATCTCTCCTTCTCTCTCTCTCTCTCTCTCTCTCTCTCTCTCTCTCTCTCTCTCTCTGTGTGTGTGTGTGTGTGTATGTATAGATGTGAATGAATGAAGAGCTTATTTGTTTGCGTAACGCAGTACGTAAGACGTTTTAGTGGCGCGACCGTACCGATGTAAAAACGATGACGAAAACGGCACAGCGCTTGGCACAGCGGAAAAAGTTGTACAATTTTTGTATACCAAACCGTAGAAAATGTGTATTTGGTTTAGTTAGTCTTACGTCTACATCCGGCTTGTGAACACACTGCGCGTGAAACGCTCTCCGCGAAATAATAAAAAAAGAAGGAAAAAACGAAGTACCGTATCAAACGAGAAGCATAGCAGAAATATAATAAAACAGAAGAAGGCGAACGAAGGAATACATTTATATATCTCTCGCTCGGTGTTATTTACACACTCGCATATATATTGATAGTGGTGTGTATTTTTGTAATGTCGCCACGAGGTCGTAGCGCGAAATTTCTTTAAATAATAATCGTTTATATCAACTCGTTGTTTTTATATTTCTCGCTCAAGAAAAAATTCGTTTTGCCTTTTTGTATTTTTATTTCTTTTTTTTTAAAAAAGTTGTCTCTCCGCATCAATCTTCCACACCATTCTTTCTCGATTTTTATTTTGGTGAATACATCGATCGGGCGCGATTTTTTTCCCATTCGTTCGTTGATTGGTTGAAACATTGGTTATGTGCTCTATTGAGTGAACAAAAAAAAAAACTTTCTGTTTTGAGGTGCGTTTAAATAACTAAATACGCAAAAGAAAAAAAACGTGTGTTGAGTTACAAACAAGAAAGAATCGATCGAATCAAATCAAAAATCAAACAAGTGACATAATTTTTTCCCATCAAGAAACGAGTTGAGTTCAGCAGAGGAGGAAAAAAAAGCGAATCGTGAAAAATTTCCATCGACGACATCAGCTATATAACTGAAGAGTGAAGAAGAAGAAGAAAAAAGTATATACAGATAGCAATATTGAAAACAGCGCGACTGGCTGACAAAGAGATACACTGCGATAATAGACACATTGCGAAAAAAAAGAAGATTTTAACAAATTTGTTCGCTTCCTACAAAAAAAACTATCAACGATAGAGTGTGTATTTTATGTAGTAGCCAGTTTGACCAAAGCACATTAAAATCCAGCTAAAGAAATATAAATAATAACAATAATAACAACACCAGCAGAAATACAACAACAATAATAAAACGCTGTGAAAAAAAGGCAGAAAACGAAGAAAAAAAAATCGAACGAAATATCTTCGCGTGTGTTGTGAATTTTTATTAAATAAAAACGACGTAGCAGAAATTATATATATATGTATATATATATACACGGCTGAGGCAACGGCACCGGAGAGAAGAGCGTCAAGTAATGCGATTGTGAACGAACGTCAAAAAGAGAGGCGACAAAAAGAACACAGAGAACGAACGAACGAAAGAAACGTAAGCAAACCGATACACGCCATTCTGAATAAAAAAAACTTTTTTTTGCTGCCTCGATAGAAGCAGAAGCAGATTGAGATTGTTCGTATCATACACGAATATACGAAAACTGAGGAAAAAATGACAAAAATATAGACTATGCCTTTCTGATTTGCCGTCGTACGGCGCGCTCTCGCTCTCTCTCCCTCTATCTCGTTTTTTCTCTCTCACGCGCGCGCGTGCTCGTTCGTTAGCCTGTTCTAACTCATTTATTCCCGCTATTCGCATCGTGTTGCTCTCTGAATTTGTCTCTCTTTCTCTCTCACTCGAGCGACACTCAGCGAACTCGCATATGGCAATCGAGAAATGGTTAAAACTCAAAATATCTCCGTACTCACACGACCGTACGGCCATCGTGCTCTCGGTGTGTGCTTTCTACTGAATCGTGTATATGTATGATCTAATATGAGCTCGAACAAGAGAGTTAGCAAATTAATGAACGAACCAAAATAAAGAAGAAGAAATATAACGTCATGAAAACCAAGGCGAGCAAACGAAAAAAAAAATTACGTTCAATGTGTGTATCAACATGCATGTGTTGCTCACATTGTTAACATGCTCAATTTTTTTGAAGTGCGGGAAAAAGAAACTCATGCGCGCCCTAAGCTTGTGTATAAAAACTATGTATATGTTCCCAATGCATTGATAACAACAACACGAGGGGAGAGAGAGAGAGAGAGAGAGAGAGAGAGAAAAACACAAACCAAACCGCATCGAATCAAAACAAAACACGAAAACAAATACAATATTTTAATATATCGGAGTGTTCGAAATGAGAATCGAAATGCTTGCATTCCGAAGTGAACTTTTTGGCGATATATGTGTGCTATACTATAAAATGATGCGATACTAAAATGGATTTTTTTTTGGAGACCAGAGGAATTTTTTGAACCGAATACATAATTTGTCATCAATTTTCTCGCGTGATTCTTCTGTGATAGACCGAGATGTGAATGTGTGTGGGCACACATGTACGACAAATTCCAATGGAATCGACGTCTAATGGGCGTTCAGAGATTATGTGTTGTGATTAAATTGTGTCTCGCGCTCTCTTCAAATGAAACATTCTATTGCGAAATTAGCATCGACACAGCAGACACAGCAGACTCTGTTCCGTTCAAATTCAGAGCAAATGCATATTCATCCCTCGTTTTCGTGAAGCAATTAAAAAATTCAACGCCGACTTAATGAAATTTGCATGCGTGTGATTAGATATAAATAATTCCTCATACACTCATCAATATTTAGACATTTTAATTTATGCAAAATAGATGCGGTGCCGTTAAGTTAGCGCACGCTGATTCATCGAAATGAATGGGCTTTGGGATTGTCTGCTCTCTCCCTCGACTAACATATAATGATGATCAAGTGAGCTGCTGGTATGTGAAATGTGCATCGGATGGTAGCCCAAGTGAAATGGAAAAGAAAACGAAAGAAAAAAATGCGCTGAGGGGGAAGACGAAGGAAAGAAAGAAAAAGAATTCACTCACTCACTCAATCACATCGAACAAGCACACCGACCGAGTGCAAAACTTTGCCGATCACGAAAACATTGTTCTGCATTAAAATGCTGAAAACCATCAATTGAAGCCATTTCAAGCGTTTGCTACTGCATTTGAGTATTTCTTTTACTCGTTCGAAAAGCATTCAACGCGCTCTCTTCGGCTATCATTCTTGATTATACGTTTGCATTCGCTCATTTTCGACCATTTCGTGTTTTGATAACCAGTGATCAGTTTGAAATAATTCTACCAATATTCGACTGCCCCGACTCTGCATTCATATGCTTTTCCTCCTCTCTCTCGCTTCGTTTCGATTCGTCTTCTCATTTCACGTATGCGAATGTGCGCAGCACTGTTGGCAAATAGAATTGAATCATCTGAACCGCAGCAGAGAAACAAAACAGAGCGAATGGAATACGCTAACATGATAAACATAATAATGTGGCCGGTCACTGGCTGGCTGGCTGACTGGCCTGACTTACACCGAATCTCCGCCTCGTTCGTGGTGTGTTATTAAGTTTTGCAAAAATCATTATTCACTACGTATTTTGCTCAATTCGAGCAAATTATCCGTTTTTCTCGACGGTTACTGCTTCAGCACATTCTCGGTGTGTTTCTGTCTCTATCATTGAGTTGTCATTTTTCATGGAGTGTGCGACGTGCGATCGCACCACAAAATTGACCATCATTCATCATCAATTGTCATGTGAATCGTGTCGTCGGTGCGTTCAGTTCAAAGACGTGGCACACTCAGCGCATGATTTGTTTTGATGAATTGAACACAAATTTGCGCGAAGCACAACACGCATTTTTTTTCGAAGCAAAGTCATTGAGTCTCATTGAATGAAAATTATTAACGCGTCTTGAAAAAAATTTCAGGGATTTGAAACAATTGGCAAAGATTTCAAGTGTACGGGGCAAAACAAATGTTTAATATATGCATTCAAGAGGTCACTTGTCTTTTGGCCAACAACAACAACAAAATCATGTAATTCTCTACTTGAGTACAAGGCAAATTCTCAACGAAATTCGAAGAATCTCATGAAAACCTCGAATACATTCTTCAGAAATTACGAAAAATTTCAATTTCTTAGGGAAAAATATAAACGAAGCGTTTCGCACGAAGAAAAGCTACGCCTATTTTTAGATGGATTACCGTGTTGTATGATAAGATACTGGTCACAATGTATCGTCAGAAAGTGATAGCAGAAGAGCGCGCACCGCACACTCACACAACCGAATGTGTAACGAAATTATCATTACATTTAATGATAACATTGAGCGGATTGATTCCGCATGCAAGCCGATTATCTCTCTCGTCTTATTTTAAAAAATTCCACGAATTCAAACTCATTCCTAGTGTGTGAGCATAAGACGAGTGGAGCGTTTGGCTGTGTTTTTTTTTTCTCTTGCCCACGAACGCCTGCAGAAGATTTCTGTGGAAAAATCAAAACAAACAGTTTTTTCGCTCGGATTTGTTCGCATGCATTTGTATCACACACGAACATGTGAATGAACCCATCCGAAGAAGTTTTTATTGTTTTTTATTTTGTTAGATTTCGGGCTTTGGGAGTTATTTTTACAAACACACAAAAACGCCACTTAAAATTTTTCCATTTTGATAATTTTCAAATCAGTGTGTAGTATCAGTAGGACAAACAGAAAACGGAGTTATCATGACAAGCGAATTTAATTTTTGTCGGTTCAAATGACTCTGTTGTTCCCCGAAATCGAAAAGAAATCACAAACACACAACATTCGTATAATCTTTTGCTTGTAAAAATTCATTCTGGATGTTTCGTCCGTTTTAACGAGCTCGTGCCATCATTCGAACGAAGAATTAAATCGTACTAAACACAAATGAACCGAAAAAAACACTACGCTGCCTATTTCGCATTAGCATACTTTAACTATAATGCGTCATATCATTAAGCAATTGAATTGAAAATGCTCGTAGCATATACACAGGCACACGTCGTGTCGCGTTATAACGTATTACATTGTCTTAGGTATGTGTATCTCACTCACTCGCTCGCTTCTTCTTTTTTCACCGTTTGGAATAATATTCACATTGGTAACTTTGCCATAAAAATCTGTGATCGTTTCGTTTATACGACATAAGCCAAGGTCAAAAGGCAATCCGATATAAAGATAGGAATTATATCGTTATGTGATTCTACTTATTACGTATTACTATAACTTATCGCATGGTTCTTGTCCGTCACCTCGAGCATTTTTTACATTTCTTAACTATCTGTCCATATCCTTTCATTACGCCCTAGCTCAACCATCATTTAAGTGTAATTACGCTGAATGAAGCCAACACACGATTGACCGAGTCTTATGATTACTCTGTCGGTTGGTATTGATAAATTGGCCCCGATGATACGGAAAATTAACGTGAACTTTTTTCAGTGTACAACACGTTTGATTATAACAATAAATAGCTAAATTGAAACTATCTGCAAGCCACGTCTTCTGTTGCGTGTTTTTGCCAACACATATTCGCCGTAAATATTCTTCTGCATTCTTTGGATAACTGAATCGAATATATATGAACTTTAGTTCTTGATTAGTACCGTCAAATTCTCGATAAAAATACATTTGAATTATCAATTCAAATTTCAATGGCATTTTATCAAAAATTTCAATTCAAATTCGGAGAAATATTCTAAGAATATTATGGTAATTTTAAAAATTTCATTTGAATTCAATTAGAAATTGAGAAAAATATACAATTTACACCTAACACATCACTAAATTAATTGCTAGTCTCGACATTGAAATTAACTCCAAACACATTTTCATCGTAACTATCTGTTTAAACTTGAGCACCTAACGTATTTTTTTGTTTTTGTCATTCTTTTTTCACCCTTTTTCCCTTTGCCTTTCTATCTCTTTCGCTCACGAGTGTTTTCTTCTTTTTGCAAACGTGATCATCGGCATCTGTTGATAATTGATATCATTTGGTGTTCACGTGTTCAGGCAATGACACACATTTGTTTCGAACCCTAATCAAAATGTCGTGATGAATATTATTGGTCTAAAAATAGGATAAAAGTGGTGTGTCAAAATGTTTGAATGATTTACTTTTTGACGGTGTCCATTACGGCGTTGAATTTTTCAGTGTCGAAAATAGAAACCATTAAATAAATTCATCTGTGATCATTGTGGCGATACAAACCGCACCGAAAATGTTAATTGGGATTATCTCCGACGCAGTGCTTGCGGTCATTAAAAGAACATGAAAAGAGAAGAAAAAACTCTGGTTTTCACATTCTTGGCTGGTCAGTTGAAAACCGCAATTCATTTTAGCACAATTTCTTGCAAGTCTTTCTTTGGCCAAGCATACAACCATTTAGCCGTGTAATTAAACACGCGCAACAGCCCATTGGACGGAACTCGAAAATTTTGCGGCCGTAAATTCAGCGACGCAATAAAGCTCACTGCTGCTGTTGCTGAAGAAGAAGAATTGACAGTCGTATCGGCGACAGTTTCAAGTAAAAATTCATTCGGTTCGGTTTTTTTGTTCTTTTTTTTCAGGTTTGTGTTGTGCGATTTAAAGATGTGAGGAATAATCAACGACACAAATTTGGTTTTTTCATGTCAATGTGACCGTGAAACAATGATCATTCTGATATGACGAAATTTTCATAGTATAGCGAGAAAAAACACGTAACTCAACACGTTCATCAGCGCAATGGCTGGTTAAATTTAATCATATAGTATTGACAAGAGTTCAGAGGAGAATTCCGCCGTGTTGAGCTATTTTTAGTTATCATTGCGTCGATACGTCGATTCTAAAAATAAAAAAAAAACGAAATCATATGAATATGTTAGCTCGGTGTGTTGTCCATACCTACTGAATGGAATTGAGGTGTGCGCGCGTTGTATTGAACAATGTCAAAAAATCGATCAAAAGAGGGAAAAAAAGCACACACAAACACAGCAGAGCGAGAGAATGCCTCGTTAATCTCTATAAATGATAATATATGTCGTATATATTAATGATATTAATGACATGAAAGAGAATACGATCGCCTTTCAGGTCATTAAATCTAATTGATTGACGTCGAAATAGAACCAAAAGACGTAACTAAATTGAATCGCAACGCAAAATACCAAACAACAAAAAAACTTTTAAACATTAATATGGAATAAAATAAAAAATTGCCCAAATTTTTTTTGTTATCGGACTTCGAAAGGAAAATCCCGATCAAAACACGCATAAAACCAAGAAAAAAAAATCGATCTCACATGCACATTAAAAGATGTGCTGACGCGCTCGATTAATATTGCGAAAGAGAAAGGCTAATGCGATGTATGTCACTAGATCGATAGTGGGCAATGTTGCGCGCGCGCGCTCAGCACGCAATTTCGAACCAGTTCATTTCGTATTCACATCATCGACATTGCACATACAGTGCTAGTATGGATTGGTTGGACTGCGAGAGAAGTAGGAACAAAAGCGGAAAATTCCGTAAAAGTTTTGTGTGGCAAAACTAGTGATACTGCTAAAAAAATGTAGTCGCGATTTCGTGTGTTTGCATTTATAGCCAGTTCAGAAATTGTGAAATAGCGTTTTCCGTCGATGAGAGGGAAAAAAATGAGTATTGAGGCAACAGCACATGGGCTAAAAGCAAATGCGACACGGCTCACTTGTAAAATAGACAGTTTAATGTGGCTAATTTTTTTTTATCATACTGGGAATATATATTGCCTATGGTGTCTGTGTGTGTGTCTATGTGGTTCACATGTTAGAATGTAATCACATTAATGAAACACACACTTGCTGCGAATAATGCCACTGGTAATAAATTACTTGTAAAGTCGCGGCCGCCATTGCCGTCGTCATCGTGTGCTTTGGTCAAATTTGTCTGACCGATGATTTCATTTGCACGCTCACACGCCACAAACGACCAAGGTAAAACTACGATAGCGTTTTTTTTTCGTTCAGTCTTTGATCTGTGAATGAGTTCGCGTTTTTTTATTTCGATCTCTTTCGTGCGTGGCAATCATACGATGGAAAATAATTAACCAATGAATTTATTGAGTGGCAGTAACTCGTTTTCATTATAACTCAATTTTATATTACAATCTCTTGGTTGAACAAATGGGCGAACAGAGGAGAGAAAAAAAATTCCATGCGGAAGAAGGAACGTTTATTGATTTTTTTTCGCGCTAGAGAGTGAGAGCCTCCAACAAACATTCAACTGACCTTTCAGACTTTGACACTAGGAAAACCGGCCAAAATAAACACAGCTGAAAATAAAAGCGATTCTACACATGTCTAGACGCATCTTTTGCGAGGTGTCAAATGACGGTTCGTCTCGCTGAAAACGCGTCAGTTCAAAATGAATATTCATTTTTAGATGAAGATAATAAAAACCAATTGCACGAAGAAGAAAAAAACAGAGAGAAGTAAACGCCAAACCAAAAGCCTTGATTCTATTGATTTTTTCAATTGTACTCTGAACATGCAATAATGGTTGGAGGAAACTCGTTCAATTACTTATTAATGGCTAGTGAAAGGTCAATTTCTGCTCAATCCGAACATGGAAAAAAAAGCCAAAACCATCACATTGTATTGAAAATGAAATCGAAATTATGACTTCTAATCACGTGTAATTGAATCAAGCAGCTGACTCAGTTTCACGCTGAAAATATTGAAAAATCCAAAATGACTGTTGGTTGAATCACAATTTGTTTGGCACATGTTCAATATCAGCAGTCAAAGAAGCACAGATTCATTTTTGGTGATCGAAAAAAGGTTTGTGATTCAAAAGAAAAAAAAATAATAACAGAAATTACGCACAGTAATTGGGAAAGAAATGAATCTCAGTAAAAACTGAATCAGTTTTCTCGCAGAATCAGATGATAATAATAAAATGCACAGTTTTGGTGCGCTACAGACGCGAAAAAATTTCTGCGTCAATGTATGCTTGATTGTTTGTTTACTTCTTAAGAGGCGAATGAGCAAGTGGCAAGAGAGAGAATCGACGAAACAAATACGAGCGCAAACACAATTTATGTCATACAATCACAACAGATTTGTTTACACTAGTGGTTTGCACTCGTGCGCGATCAGCAAAACAAAGCTCATCAATATTGACGACGGAGCTGACATTTGCTGATCCACACTATGATATTTACTCAAAAATGTGCGAAGAACTTTTCTCTATTTTGGTTTTAAGAGCACGCGCGCACACAGACACAGCATCAAAGTGATTATATAATCAAAACGTAACTCTATTCTTTTGTCGTCTTCAAACGATTGTTAGTGGTAATAACCAGAACTTAACACTTCTGCTCATTTTCAATGAACTAATAGCATTTTAATGAACACTAATTTGAAATTTACTTTTGCTTTCAAATGATATACTTTGAAAAAAGAAAATTGTACAATTGAACAATGATCGGCTCGTTTATGACGACGCCATCAGCAGCCGCGTCGTACAGTTCATATAGTAGATCTGATAGCCTTGTTTTTATTTACATTCTGATAAATTACGGCGATTGGATTCCGAGAAGTGTAGCAATAAATATTAATGTGCGACATGCCCCCAAAATCCGAAGTAAAAACTTAAATAGTCATTAAACTGAACGGCTCATTTCTATATTACCACTGTGCAATACATTGTATATGCACGAACCGCGTTTCTCGCTCGCTTCTCACTGTCTCTTACTCTGTCATTCTCGGCCGTTGTCGTCGCCGTCGCTCTGAAATACGCAGGATCCAATGACGAGGTTTTATATATAAATATTTTAAATCAGGTCAACCTTTATCAGCATTGGTTCTTTGGTGCGTATGTTATTGCTACATTATGATCGTTCGAAACGTGTTAGTTATGTGTTGTGTTTTTTATTCAACTTATGCCGCTCATCACTGGTCGTAAATTTCAATAAAATTTCCAACAATGTTGTCGGTCGTATGTCGATGAGCTATACAAATTTTGTACCGATTGTTTTTTTTATTTCCTACTATTTTCTGCGATCAAAACCGCTATAATCGCTCTAAATTCTAAAAAGATATCATTTGACGCGTCTAAAATGGAATCAGCTTGTATTCGGACGCTTTTATGATAGTGAAATTTCTATCATTCAACACTTAAATCAATATTTGAAGGAGAGTGCTGAATAAATCATTCGCTTCACTCTTATCAATTCCATTTCGAAGGGGTCAAATGATAACTAAACTTCAACAAAAATACAAAAAAAATGCGCGCACAGACACATACGACATACAGTCATAATTACATTACATTCGAATAACGCACAGCCGTATGATTTCATTTTGAAATTAAACTGAATTGTGCGGACGGAGGACATGGATATAATTCCATGATAATAGATTACATTTGGATACAGTTATACCATTTCTTTTTATGGATATTCGGTCATATCGAATAAGTCCCGGTTGAATCGCTTACACTCCCAGCTCAAAGGAACATAAGCCGTGATAAAATGATTTTATGACGAGCGTCTATAAGTTGAAGCCTGAGCGTGGATTTGTGTATTCAACAATCTGTGTTTTGCGAATTAACATCAACAAACGCTACGACAACAAAAAAATAACAGAAAAATAAAGGTGAAATTCAGACGCATTAAAATCGGTTTGATCCTGACCAATGTTATTCAAAGTTCCTTAGTGCATTCACACGCTGTGAACAGTAATCAAGTCTCTTCACTTTGCATTTTTATTTATAAACGTTTATATTTGTGAGCTCACCAACGAAGTAAACAGTAGAACCAGAATCGTAAACAGACAAATTATCAACACAAGCACACCGAACAAGAACATTTGTGGTTTCTTTGCGTTGCACAGGACTTTTTGTGTGTGTATTACTCCAGTCGAATATTCGACTTATTTAATTATTGTATTATTTACATTGTGCATCAATTGCAGAAGAAAAAGTACCAATCGAAGGCTAATTTTAGGAATTTTAATTAAAAAACCAACATGAAATTTATTGAATTATTATCTAAATATAATTTTCGTTGCTTTTTTTCATTCTTCATTTGCAGAAGAGCAGAAAACGCATTGCGAAAACGATATATGCCTCAGTGAAAGACCGTGGTAGTAAAATCGATGCCTTATACGATAATTTCGTGACAAAACAGGATAAAAATAACCTTAATTCTATATTACATTGGAACCAAGTGAAAAGGAAAACGCACATACATATTTTTATAGTGATAAGACGAGGGTAACAAGTGAAAAAAAAATTTTTGTTTGGGTTGAACACAAAAAGTTGAGAAAAACGAAAGTGAATCGAAATTGTTTGGTTGATCGTGACACCAGAAAAAGGATAAGCTACAGCATGGATTCGTTTAATGCAACATGGCCGTCGCCCGATGGCCTTGAATCAATATCCAACGATGGCATTCAAACGATGGATCTGGTGACGGATCTGCAAGAATCATTTGAGCCGCTTCAAAGAGCACGGTAAGTGGAGTATAAATGGATCAAATCAAGGGGAATTCATGTAATTTCCCGAGATTAGATTAGATAAAATGTTTGCATTTTTTTTTATTCATATTATTTCATTCATTGATTGGTTGGTATTTATATACTGATAAAATACTAATGCTCAATTATTTCATTTCGATGTCGATTTCCAGTTCAAATACATGGCCTTTACCTCGACCAGAAAACTTTGTCGACCCTGATGAGTCTGAGAGTAAAAAATGCAGTAATCAGCAGCTATCAACAAGTGCGTGTTAACAATATTTCTCTTTCTCTCATTAATAACGTCCCCCGTTAATTCATTCAGTTTTTCCACTGTTTTGTGATAAGATCTGGCCGAATGTTGCATGAAAATATGTTTTTCTTCGTCGTTTCGAATTCATTCACGTGTTGCCAATCAACGTAGCAAATCAAATAGCTCATTTTCGTATTTATGAGGGAAATGAAGTTATTTATGTGCTTTAAGTTGAAGTCGTCTACGTCACGTCACGACTCACCAAAAACATTGCGTAATAATGTTCAAATCGATTGTCTGAAAAAAAAAAACATATTTTTGTACGATGTCATACAATACATATTTGAATGACGTTGGAAAAGAAAAGCACATTCAGCTATAATATTCTTATCGAAAATATTATCAAAATTGGCAGTGGATTAATTTAATTTTCGTCTTTGCTCTTTTTTTCACATTCAAAAGTAGATGATTCTCAGCAAGTGACATTACCAAATTTGGCGGCACAAAAGAAGAATTCATCACGTCGAAATGCGTGGGGCAATTTATCCTACGCCGATTTGATAACGCAGGCAATCACTTCAGCCGTCGATAATAGATTAACATTAAGTCAGATTTATGAGTGGATGGTGCAAAATGTTCCTTATTTCAAAGACAAAGGTGACTCCAACAGCAGCGCTGGCTGGAAGGTGAGTAGTCGTCACAAAAATTGTTAAGCTCCTTTATGGCTTCATTTTATTTTTTATTATAATATTCGGGTTTTTTTTTCTACGGAGTTCTATGGCAAAACGCAAAATATTCGGGTGTAAAACCTTCCTCCATTGATTTGTCGAATATGAATATATTTCCAAATATACGTGTTAGATTTGTGTTTTGGCTGCGTGTGAAAGACCTACCTGAAAATTTACTACGCATCGCATAAAATATGCGTGTTGTCTTGACGATATTAAAAATGGTATTTTCGCATAAGTGGCAGTGTGGCGAAGGTTTCTTTTCACACGAGAGAAGAAGGAAAAAAACATGAAACCAGAGAATCATTTCAGCATAGATATTCAGTTTACAACTGAATTTTCAGTAACTGAATGCAGTGACTGTTTGCATCGCTCTACATTCAAGCGGACGCTCTACATTCAAGCGCAGACGTGCATATACATTGGTTTACACTCAATTGTGAGTATGCGTGTGAGAGAGGAGAGAAGAGAAAACTAAACACAACAAACCAATAATCATTATATTTTATTTTATTATCGTTGATATATGAAATATTTGAAATATAGCCAAATATGTCAAACATACGAAATATCAAGATGCATTTTGTAAACAAATAATGCTTCAATATTTGAAATATTTGACATATTTGAATATATTTGAAGATATTTCATATATATTTGTTCGTCGCAAGCCCTTCGGCGCCCGCTCACTCACATCGAAGCAAACAGTCACTGCATTCAGTTACTGAGAATTCAGCTGTAAACTGAATATCTATGCTGAAATGATTCTCTGCATGAAACGCCACCGTCGATATTATATTTCATATTTCATTTTAGCAACCGACTATGAATTGTGTTCGTATGTATGGACTTTGTATCAGAATCAATTTTATCAAGAACAAAAAAGTGGAAAGAGAATGAAAGATATCCAGTTTTATGTGTGTATGAGGCTTATTCGATACATATTGCGGTGGAAAGAGTATCATCTTTAAGTAATGTGATCGAACGTTTTCATTCTGATGATATCGAGTGAAATATGTGTGTCTGTGTGTGTGCGCCTGAAGTATAAATTCCAGGAAATAATGTCACGAGCTTGTGGCCCACAACAAATCCAATGATGCTAATACACACAAATGCCATTCAGTTTACGTTATAATTTTTTTTGCCATTCCGTTCTTTGCAATATATGTTATCACTAACCCTTGGATTTTGCCGACTCTCCGAATGTTGGAAATAACCTCTCTGATTACATTAATGGGCATTCACTAAGTGAATTAACACAATACTATATTTAAAAGTTGGTAATTTTTACGATCGACACAAATATGACTTTATGTTTCATTTAATATGGACATTGCAAGTCATGCGTCTGATTCGCTGAAGTTTGAATCATTTTTTTTTCTGAAACTGGAACGATATCATCATCTACTGAACTTCGGAGTTTCCTTGACGGCTTTCGATGTGATAAGAGTGTGCTCGATCGCTCGCGCGCCCGGTACGAATAAGAAAGGTCCCGAATCTGTCGTTTGATGTGTGTTAATCAGTCAATTTCACCCGAAATCATGTCGTTTCACTCGAACACACGATAACACTGAATTCATGTGAATTAATTTCTTTTTGACGTAGATTAGTTTTAAAGTCTTGGAGAATCCCAGTCATGAGAAAATGGTGCTTGCTCCACTATCATAATTATTGCGAAATGTAAACAAATAATGTGTGGTGATTTTTAATGAACGGCGTAAACACCATAATACAATTTTTTTTCCCTTCGTAAAAATAAATCACGACGGCTAATCGCAGCTCAACAGAATAATCGGGTGATAATTTGCGCACTAGTATATTGTTACTGCTGCTGCTGCTGCTGCTGTTGTTGTTGTTGTATTTAATACACATAGAATTTTTCCGCTATTTACGTCAAGTAATAAAGAAAACTTTTATGGAATCGCACGAACGCGCCCGCGATCATCATCCTGCATGTGTGTAAATGGGAAATAGTATTTTTTTATATTGATTGCTGAGATAACCACCTATATGAAGTCACGCAAGCAGCTGCAATGCATTTTTCATTAAGCGACTCACAGCTCACGCCATGTAGATAAACAGAGGGGAAGAAAATGACATTGTAAACGAAAACGAAAACGCAAACGAAAGTGATAGTTTGTGTGTGGAATTTTCAAGAATCATTGGCAGAGAATGCAGAGCGCCGCTTAAAATAGTAAAAGAGGCAACAATGAAGTGTATGCCCCTTTTTTTAAAGTTGCTGAATTGGCTATCACATTTTGCACTCGAACCATTTTCTTTTTTTCTTCTTCTTGTTCTGAACAATAAACTGACTGACACATAAAAGAAGAGAGAAAAAACGTTGATTGCAACCGGTTAATCTAATCAAAAAGATGACTTAATGAGGTTGACGTTCAAATATATATATATATATGTATATGTCGTTCGAACGATGATTTGTGATTTATAAGTCAATGTGATTGCATTTAATCGTGGAAAAATTATTTCGACTTTTACTCTTTATCGGTGTGTGTACGTGCTCTATTCAGATCAAGTGCACCATTCACTCATACACACACACACCGTGCACGGTTCTAATTTTAATGACAGATTTTGATAATAAATTTGCACACGAAACTGCAATATCATTGAGATTTTCATTGCCCTGAACATCGACGAAATGAATGAAGAAAAAATAAATTGGTGCTCCTATAAATGTGGATAATCTATATATTGAAATAACAGCCACACAATCAATTAATTTCGATTCATATTTTTTTCCCCATATTTACTTAATAATATCAATCGATAATGACTGTTTTTTTCAGTATATGTGCTTCATAAAACATGTCGATTATCACTTCAGTTCAAACTGGTTATGAAAATTATATTCATTAGCATGGACATGTGCTGCTTGTATGCACACAAACTTTGCTTTTTTCGAAAGCAATAACTATTATGATTGAGCATTAAATGAAGTGTGCTATTAGTGGTACACTCTTAATCATACATCTCGTTTAGTTTGGGGTTTTTCTCTCTCTCTCTCTCTTTTTCTCTTATTCACGTCTTTCGTTCAATATATCGATTGATCGAAAATCCAAACAATGTCCCATTCATACGGATGGCATATTGGCATTTTATTGAATTAGTACGTAGATTAGAAATTAGTATTTTTTTTATGCAGAAAAAAAGTGAAGAATTCAGAATAAGCATTTGAGTCACATCAGCCTTGGTTCAATCGTCATCTCAATAATCAGCCGATTGTCATCTCTCTCCCATCGAATCTACATCTTGCAGGTGTCGTGCTAATAATTATCGCATTTTATTCACGAAAAAACTATTGTCAATATATGCAAATGCGTTGCAATTTCAACCAAGTGATTTCCACAGTATGTGACACTATATATTCTATAATTGATGATGGCGTCGTCGTCGTCGTCGTCGAATGCAATGAAAATATTTTGCATATTCATTTAGATATCCAATTCACAACTAGGTAACTGGCAGTCGGAGCTTAGCCGCGCTTAGCAAACCATATATACTCAAATGGCCCGTATCAGAGAAAAAAGATCTCTCGAAAATTGGATGATCTCCAAATGCTATGAGGATTAATGGTAGATAAATTCGGCTATAACAATAGACAGTCACACAAACTGAACGACAAATTTAAATCGCATCAAAAATTGGGAAAGTGTCGACGACGTAATTTATGATTATGGCACTGGCTTAAATTAATTTATTCACTGTGACGAGATAATCAGGAAAAAGAGCAAGTGGCTGACATTTATTTATATGCATGCAAATTTACAAGACTCGAGCAATGATTTTGTGTATGTAGCCGTCGTCGTTGTTCGACGCCGTGTTTGCATGACAATAATCGAGACATTTTTCGTTTCAGTCTTTAGGTTCTAAACGCCGATTTGGTGTGTGTATTAGGGTAGCCCAAATGCCAAATGTTTTAAAATTTGCAGCTCCTAACC